GTACTTTCTAATAATGTGTTTCTGCAAGGTTGAGGAAACAGAAATTATAAAAGTACTTATTGCTTGACCAAATTCAATCCACGAAAACATAATTCTATAAACTCAAAGTCTTTAACTTGAAAGCAAATAATGATTTGCATCATCATTTAACCTCGTGCTGTTGTATATTGCAGTTAAGTTCTCGCAACAAACCTTAAAAAAGATAGTCTAAAGAAATGCTTGGACAAAAGACAGCAGATGACAAAATCAGGTGCTCCAGCATCATCTTTACCTCACAGTAATTATTTTGAGCAAATGCGATTCCTTCACGAAAAAATAAATAACCAACCAACTGAATCTAATGTTATCTCTACTTTATTTGAGTCATCCTGTGTCAGTCAAACACTACAAAGTGATGCACAGGTAACCACTGTTTCCTATTCCAATAAGCGAAAAGCCAGTGACGAACCATTCGTGCCAGCAGTGAGTAACAGACATTTTTCAAGTAAGTCATCTCGACAGGATGCTATTGAGCTAGCTATTCTAAAACAACTCGACAAAACAGACAAAAAATTGATGAAACGCAAAAGCAGGAAACAAGAGATGAAGTAACTCTTTACTGCAAGAGTCTTATTCCCACTATAAATGGTCTCCTGAAAAAGAGAAGACTAGCAATGATCAAAATTCGTCAGCTGCTGTTTGAAATAGAATTAAATCATGAATAAACTTTTTTGTTATTTGAATTTCTATTTATCTTAGCTATTATCTATTTCTAAATTGTTGCTCATAGTTAAGCAAGCTTATTAGTTACTTATTCAGTTGGTTCTTTCTATGACTGTCTGAGACGTCATGTCTTATATGCTAAGTTACTGTGTTGATTGTTGGTGAAAGTAAACTCTAATAATATTGCATGTGGTAAAATAGGTGAGAAATACCAGCTGTTATTGCTGGAAAATGTTTGGCATTCCACAAAATTACTGCAGCAATTATATTTATATCTTGCAAGATTGTTTTTGTAAACTTACAGTAAATTCAGAATTCATGCAGGTGTATTAAAATGCAAGTTTCATTACGTTTCATCAGTGTTTCAACGACATCGAGGAACCATTTTCTTTTTCGCTTCAGTTTGTCCAGAAAGAAGCATTTCAATGAAAAACCTAAAACTTTTTTTACTTTGGAACTTAAGTTTAACCCTCTAGAAATTGTTCACCTTAAACATTATACAAAGTGAGCAATTTGTAAAAGCAATTGTCATTCTTCCTCAACGATGTTTGATATTGTTTAGAACATCCGTATCATAGCAAAGTACTACACTAATATTACTATGAAACGAATGGCGGAGCTGTTAAGTCTGAAAGTCTAAGTTTTCAGGAGTTTATAGGCAACAACTAAACGATGGGCAAGTGCTTGTCTTCAATAGTTTTATTCGTTAAAATTTTTCCAAGGAAACTTTTTGTTACTTTTGCAAACAATTTTTATTTTTGGAATTATCTGACAGGAAATACAATAGAATTCTTTGAAGCAGTTTGCATTTGTCAGTAATTTATCCGTGATCGATGGACTTGGAATACACATGCATAAAAATGTAATAAATAGATTATATTGTTTGTTATGTATAAAATACTGATTATTAACGATGAAAAATTAACATGTTCATTTTTATAAATTCTCGACTAATGATACACTTTTGGAATAGTTATTGGAACCGATTTGACATAATGGTTGCAGTCCCAAGATGCCAATTTTGTTACGCCTCCATTCTTCAGGTATATAGCCTATTGTGCTCTGGTTATTTGTAAAAATTCTTGGACAATCCTGATGTGCATCAGAAGAGTTATGGCTCATTAGAAAATTATATAGTGCAACAACAGCTTTTGTAGCTGCTTTAGCCTTTTTAAAGTTTGCGATTACTGTGCGGCTAATTATTCTGAACCGTGATGCAGCTTCTCCAAATGTAATTTTCAATCACCTTTCCAGCGCAAGAGAGCCTGTAATTAAATATGCGTTCATCAATAGACAGATTCTGTGATAGGAAAGGTTTCATCATGTGCACTTTAACCCAAACGCTTCATCAAATATCTGTTCGAAAACAAATATATTTTTGCACGAAATTTTTTGCCTTAAAAATTATTGCTTCGCGCTAAGAATTTGGCAAGTAGAAATCCGGCTTAAGACAAAATGCAAATGCGCTTCGCGCTTTGTGACGTAATAATGCAAGTTGTCTATTAGGTATTCATAATGATTTGTATCAGCAGGATGCATCGACATAGGTATCTTCCATGCGGAAAAAATGATAATTTTCTCCAAGCTCTTGATTTAACTTCATTTTTAGTTTGGTTATGTACTGAATGGCGGGAGAGGACAATCCTTGTTTGTCACTTAAAATCTTGACATCTTCTATAGCTGTTCGTTGTGTACGAATGAGTGAGCGTTCTTGTCATAAAGGAATTCTGTTTTTTACCTTATAGTAAAATGATTGCATTACATCTTTAATTCTTTTTTTGGCATCACATGAATTTCCTTTTTCTGGCACTGAGCACTGTCCATGACCTCTTTGTTACCATCAGTGAATTGCTTTCGGTTGCAAATGAAGCAGTGGTGCTTTTGCTTAGAAACGTTTCTGGCTGGACTGATGTCTAAATTGGGATTTGTTTTCGTCCGACCCAATAGAAACCTCCGGCGCAGTTGTGTCAATTGTCGTAGCTACTTTTTACGAAAACCAGATATATTATTTGCAAATTCAGTTTGGCAAGACTTGTGAAATTTACCAAATGCCTCGTGCACATCTGCGATCCGTGCATAGACTTCCTCAAAACTATGTTAAGTTTCAGAAATAGGGGTATTTACTTTTGCCCATGACTCAACGTCTTTTTCAAACTTCAGCCAATATGTGTTTCCCAATTGTTGCTGCTTTTCTTTCACTTCTATAATACAATTGCACATAAGGCAAACTGAAGCAAGTTTTTAACATTTGACTCAAAAATGGTGCAGGAGATTGCATCGTTGCATTAAAATCGTTAAGACAAAAGTATGTGTTTTTAACAACTATGTTCTCGCTACAAATACAGTTGTTAAAAACAATTTTCTCACAAGTACGTGCTTGCTATGTGCAAAATAATTGCTATTCTCTGAATTCGAACAAGTTTTGTATTTAAAATATCGTCGCATGCAAAGTAAAATCCGCAAAGGCAAGTTCATTTGAAGGGAAGGATGTGGTTCAAAAGAAGTCTTTTTTATATATTGCTTTACATACTTTTGAACGCACAATGGGATTTAAATATAGCGTGATTGTATTGAAGTAAAATTATATCATTTTTCAAAACTTTTCCCAACTTAAACTGATGAATCGTTTTATTTATTTGCAAATACATAAAAATGACGACGTAGCAAAAGTAAATGATGATATTTCCATTCCTAGTATAACATAGTATATTAATCGAATTGATTTCTGTTGCTTTGTTTGCAAATATAACTGCATCAGTAACACGATAAAAACATTTACAAAATGTTGTTTCAATTTAAACCAACACCAGCAAACTAAACGTTCACTAAAAGTCTTTAAAAGTTTGGTTAGGCACTTCCTTTGTTCGTTACAGCATTTTTTCTTTCTATACTGGTTACGCTACTCCAAAAAAGTTGAATGTCTCGATAATAATTTGTTGTATTAAATGTAGAAGCGAGAATGATGAAATTCAGAACTGTACTGTTGCCAATTCTAGTCTTGCTGTGCATAGTTAATCATTGCGCAGTAGGGTTTTGGTGGAGGCGACGATCAAGAGGATGTCATGCATCTAACTGTGCTGTTAGCGGTTGGTCATCATGGAGTGCATGTTCTAGAACATGTGGTCCTCATGGAACACAGTACAGAACCAGACATAAAACACGAAGTGAAAGTTGTGGTGGAAGCTGCCACTACTCATTTCGAGAAACGCGAAGCTGTAATCAAAATTGTCCCCATGGATCTTTTTATAGTGGGCGTTGCATTTGCAATACAGGATGGACAGGAGAATGTTGTAATAATGGTAATTTTACATTTTAAGACAATTAATTATGCTTTGTTGACTCTAATAACCTTTCTGTCTCTACCATGTGAAGTTAATAACTTTGACCCGGGGGCGAATCTAGTATTTGTCAGCCACCTGGCAGACCCCCACCTACCCCACTCAACAAAAATCGTTGATTTTCTGTGTTGGATATTTTCGTAAAGATTTAAGGCGATTATTCCAAACAAAAAATGGCTTTGCTTTTGGAGCCCTCGAAACAGCTAGGGCCCTGGCGATCGCCCATAACTCTCCCATAAAAAATTAAAACAATAAAATAATTCTTAGCTTTTCAAATTACTCTTATAGTCTGTAACCATGTTCCCGTTCTTCCAAACCACATGTTTTTTTGTAAAAAAATGTCACTCACATTTGAGATTCTCGACTTGAACTTGCACTTATTTGCATTTACATTTATGTAATTTTTCAGAATGCTAATTTTTTTTCCCGAGTCTTTCTAAAATGAAGTAAATTGTCGTTGTGACTTATGACAAATTTGTGCTATGCATACAGTGTCAACATGATCTCTTAAAGTGACCATGGTGGTGTCAAAATCAGAATTAATTTATTCTATGAGTACGCATATGCGTGGGTGGGTGTTCCCCTTCCCATTTTTGTAAATTATGTCTAGAAAGTAAGTGCGGAAAGGGGAAATTTGAATCGGCTATCAAAAAAACGTTATAATTTTTGAGGAGAAAAGAAAAACAGGACATGGTGAAGGTATTTGAATAAGAGATCAAAGAAACAAATCTATCAACCATTTAATTTTAATCTTGTCCGAAAATCATGGCGCGTTGTGTGCGAACACAACTCACGCCTACGTATTTCTTTGCCCTTTTTAGCTGGCTTTGTGTTAACGCAGTTCGTGTTAAAGGGAATCGTCATTTCTTTGACTATCGATGCAATCATGCCGTGAAGAAATTGTACCTTTTCAAACGAATATGCCTGCCAGAGAATGAACTTTATATTTACCTATTTCAGATATCGACGAGTGCCCCAGCAGTTGTGCCCATTTTTGCCAGAACACCCTTGGAAGTTATAACTGTTATTGTCGATCTTGTTATGATAAAGTTGGCTTTTTCGGATGTGAGCTGAATAAATGTAAAATATCAGATACATGCTACGAGTACAATGTTGTCAATCCAAGCAATCAATGTCAGGTAAATTGAATAAAGAAGCGGCAAGAAAATGAATGAAATTAATGAAAAAGGGGGTTTCAACGTGTAGGTTGACGATTTTTCATTGAGACTAGATTGTATGTTTCGAAGGTGCTGCTTTTCTTCTTACTCTACCGTGTTTCGTGTTGAATAGTAGCGCTGAAATGAAGTTGTAGAGTGTACAAAAAATAGCAAGGGCACCTAAAAACCGAATATCAAAAAATCCCAATTTTTTGTAAAATTGAATGTAATGCAGTTATGGAGATTATTTTCTAGAAAGTGTAAAGCTTTTTTAAGTAGAACTTATTTGTCCCAGACAATTTACCTTGAAAATCGTCATTGCTTCACAAGTGGAGGTTATTAGAGCTGAAAAGAGCGTGACCTAAAACTATTTTTACCACTGCCAACTATGGCTTTCTTTTCACTTACTGCCAAAGATTGTGCTAAATGATTTGATTTGCATTTTTACATTGTTTCGTGTTCCCTGTCCTGACAAAATTTCATTATAAATTTTGTTGGCTTGCTGCAGCTGTACACCACACTAGTAATAAAAATAGAAAATGAAAGAACTGTTTTGCTTCTAATGAATTTTCGTAAATATCACTTTGGCAAATTCGACAGCAATTTTAAATTGTCAGTTTATGAAAACAATGCACACTTTATATAATAGCAAATTCATCCATGTAGGAATGTAATCGTCAATATAAAAGAAAATGGACGAACAATAACAACCTTCCTTGTAATGACAACAGCCATGGAACTAGAAATGATCGTTGTAAGGAAGGTGTGTGCTCTGGTGAACAATTCACGTGTTTGTCATGCGAATATCAACAAGATGGGACATGTAAAGTAAAGAGTGGATTTTGTGTTATAAACATTAATGGCAGCAATACCTGTGTTTCTGCAAACATGGAAAATCCGAGCAATCCGTGTCAGGTGAATTGAAATGAGAAATTCTTTTCAGTCGTGTCAAAGTTGAAATTTACCAACTACTATTAGATTCAATCCACCATATTTTATTTTAAGCTACAATTCAATGACTGGATGTCTTTAGGGCATCGATTGCATATCTATTTGAATATAATAAGACACATGCCCCAAATAAAAGGTCCATGTCAGTGGCGTGCGGTCATGCAAGCGTAGGCAAGCGCCGCTTGCCTAAGCATTTTACCGAACAAAAATTTTTTAGATCAATCTCTGAGCAAAATCAGTTTAAATTTTTCTGTTCTAAACAATGTCAATGTAATCTTTTGTCTAAATTGTCTTTACAGTTGAAATGCTTGCTATTTATACGCGATTTACTGTCGTGGTTTTCGGTTTCACTTTGCTACACTTGTAAGATGAGTCAAGTGTATTAAATTAAGTGGATTAAATTAATTATTTATTAACCAAGGCAAGCGCGCTTGCCTTCGGAGCTCAATTTGAACATTTGCGCATGCGTTAATCTAGATTTGGAGGCTTCTTATTCGAGGAATATCGAGAAAGGCAAGCGGCGCTTCTAAGGGCGCCGCTTGATAGCGATTGGTCAACAGTCTTGTACGCTCGCAATTTTAAACACATATCAGCGCACGAATAATATTCGTATATTCAACACATTGGACATCCGAATTATTCACGCCGTTAATGTTATCGTTTATTAAAAGATGACTGAGAGCGAAAGGTAATGTTCTGATTTCTAATTCAAAGTAGTAGTAGATTTCTAATTTATGTATGTAGAAGATATTATCTGTAGCATGTTATACTTTAGCGTTATATAAGTCTTGCGTATGAGCTCTGAACGTGATTTCAATGTACTAGAACGCTATTAAATTTTGTGATTATTTTATTCACTAGCAAAGAAGTTATTTACAACAGTCGTGAGTATTCTATATGTTAGAATTTATTTACAGGCTTTTTATATATTTCGATAAACAAGGTGCAGTTATTACACAGCGGATAATGTACTTGAAATTTGAGTAGTTTTACGTAATTATAAAGTTAAGTGCGTAAGTTTAAGTAGCGCGTTTGAGTAAGTGTAGGATTGGCTATTTCCTCTATTGCTAATACATGAATCTAGATGAGTAATGTACGCACGTTATGTACGTCACTACAAGATATCATGTAACTGATGTAAGGTATAAATAAGATTGATGTTCCTATAAAATATATAGCATAGGAATTTTCATCCTTTTATGTTCTACTTCTACAATTCGGTATTTTCACGACACCTGTACAACATGACTGAATGCATTGTGGAATCACTGTTATCCCCCGCTCATTTGGATTGAGACCTTTTTCCGAGAAAAAGTAAATCTGTTGTAGGATTTTGGACTATTTCGTTCTGTTACTTCTTCACTACAATAGAAATGCACGCGTAGCCATTTACTTAAAACGACTTTATATCACAATACCACATGTAATACTTTTAAACCGTAATTGTGATATATACTCTATAAAAGTTTTTGAATTTTTTAGATTTTTTCAATACTGTTTCAGTCATGACAGATACATTTTTTCGACAAAGTACTCCCAGAAATCGCGGGAAATGCGCTCCAGTAGCCTTCAAAATCCAAAAATTTTCTGGAGGAGCATGCCCCCAGAACCCCTAGATAGCTTCGCGGCATGCCGCGAACCTCACCCCCAGCGCTTGCCTATTAAATTCGGTCACCGCACGCCACTGGTCCATGTTTAACTCAATATTTGAGAAACAAAGGCAGTTTTTCATACAGTAATATGTCGAATTTATTGCAAATTCATCTTGGAGTCTGATGATGAATTTAGTGGCAGATCTATGTTAGGTCAAAATAAAAAATTTTAACAACGCTATTGATTAGAAATTTCAAAAGATACGATATTTCTTCGCCTCTGGGATTTCATAGGTTTTGTACAGAATTAGTTCAAGTGAAATAAGTTAAAAGTACTATCACACACTGATTTTCATCTCAAATTCATCACACAAATGCTTTATAAAATCAAAGCGAAATTGAATGAGTAACAGCCACAAAAATCTAGTCATTTTTTTCAAAAGTTGCAACCAATAAGGTAAACTAGCGTTTAATTGAATTAACCATGAGGGACAATTAGCTATTATTTATGCCCCTCTACTTCCTCAGGTCATTTTCGCGGGAGTCTTAGGCTTAGTTCAAACGGCGAACTTCTCATATGCCGTGCCAAATTACTATTAAGTTCGGCAGAGCACGGCAAAATAAGAATTTGATTCAAACGTCGATTTTAATTCAGTCGAACTTAATTCCTTCATATGACCTTTTGTTCCTTTACGTCACGTTTATACAACGCGCATGCTCAAATAAATAGCGGGATTTTCAATATGGCGAAAACAAAATAGCACAAAGACAGATCATTTTTATGCGACATACAGGGGCGGATCTAGAGTATGTCAAATCCGTCGCGCGACTGATGTTTGAAATTCAAAAATTACCTATTCATATTAATTAAAAATCATTAATTATTCTTACTTTATTATCGCATTTACTTCGTGATAAAAATCCAGCTTTATTTATTATTGAAAACTAATGACTAATCCAATGAATATCTCGTTGGTAACCAGATCAGTTGAATTTTAATTGACCTGGAATAACCGACTGATAAGCGGGGTGGCTTGACTGGTTCGACTGATAAAGGAGTCTATGAACGCCAAAAACGCTTATTTCATTGGTCAATAGCCAGATCAGTGGACGATCTAGAATAATCTCGACCGATAAGCGGGGCGGCCGGACCTATAAGGGAGTCCACTTGCTATCGAGTAATTGGTTCGTTTAAATTTTTGTTTTACTGTGATTGGTTTGACTAATTTCGTCTGATAGCCAACTGAACTAACATAGTCAAGCTCACTGTCTGAATTGAATGTTTGATTGTTTCATAGTAATTTTCTGAAGCATGATAGAAACTAAACTACAATCAGATGGAATTTATGGAAATCTTTTACAAATTCATATATTGACATGAATGCTGCTTTCCAAACTGGGAATTTTTTCAAGAGGGCGAAAAATTTATGGATGAATTGTAAATGCTTGGCAAAGACGATCTCGCGAGCGACATTTCAGTCATTAAAGTAAATGGTTTGAACCCGGGAGTATCGTTATATGTTTGTAAATGATGATTGTCCAGGTTAATAAATTCCTGAGAAGGACTGTTTTTGATGTTGTTGACTGACGTTTCGACAACCTTAGCGGTAGTCATCTTCAGAGTCAAATGAGGAGTAAACGTCAGGTTAGCCGTATTTGTTGTCTGGTTCTTACGTCATTGTATTGTGTGTACAGGAAATGTGCAGGAAATGTGTATTGTCATTGTGGATTAGTGTGAAGTGAAATATTTTATTTTTAGTTGTGATGTGTGATTTAGGTGTGACGTTTTAGTTGTAGTGTGTGGGTGTCAATTGTGTATTGTCATTGTGAATTAGTTTGAAGTGTAATGTTTTTAGTTGATCGTTTGTTTGTATTGTGAATAAGTCGTTTGTAAGGTGCCGGTAATTGCTGTGATCTGTTCAGGGGGGTTTGTTCCAAGTTGGTATACCAACTTTCTAATGTAAGCCGTTGTCTATAGTCAGTACTGTAAGTGATGCATTTTGCCGAGTCCCAGTCAATGTTGTGCTTTGTGATTCGGTGATGTTCGGCAATGTGATTAGTTTTCTCTTGTTTCTTAGTAGCTCGTTTGTGCTCAGTAAGTCTTATGTTTAAGTTCCTGCCAGTTTCCCCGATATAGGAGGCGTGGCAGTCGGAGCAGTTTATTTTGTAAACTGCACCTTGTCGTCAGTGGCGTAGCTAGCGGTCCCGCTACTCCCGCCCGGCGGGAGTAGAAATTTCCCAAAAAAATAATAAATATTCTATTTGGACATAAGATATACATTATTTCACGAACAATTTGTAATATTATGTTTTATTCGTTCATATTTACGCTTTTATTAGGTGGTCGTAATCGTAATACAGCAAAATCTCAAGATTTGTTATGTAACCTAGCAACCGCCTTTTCTCGCACATTGCATACTCGCGCGATTCTCGACGTATTCCGCCCATCTTCAGAGGGCGGAACATACAATATAATTCTATATAAGAAGTTTTGAATGCTGGTTGGCTAAGGGACTTGACGCATGCTCAAATCTGCTGTTTTATAGTCGAACTCCCGCTATTTTAAATTGGCGGAGGTTGTAATTATTCGACCTTTTAATACGAGTACAGCGATTAGTGATTATCAAATTACGTGTCATTGTCGGTATTAATTTTCCATTGTGTTTACTCTCAAATTGCTATTTTGTATTTGTGTATGACACAATGGCTTCAAGTGCGACTGCGATTTGCTCAACTGATGTTGATTTAGTAAATAGCTTATTAGCTAAACCGTTCTCTGCTCGATCGTCGGTCGAACAGAATGTTATCGTTCATGAACGGCCTACTCCTGATTTAACTATCCAAAATAAAGGAAGAGCATTTCAGAGAGATTGGTATGAGGCGAAGGACTGGCTGTGTGGCAGTACAACCTTGCAGAAAGTGTTTTGTTGGCCATGTCTAATGTTTTCCCCAAAAACATCGCCATCGTGGACTAAGAATGGCTACAACGATATGCGGAGTATTATGTCTGATGCTAAGAAGCATGAAAAATCTAAATCGCATTTGACTGCATTTAAGACATGGAAAACGTATGGAGCTAGTGAACGAATTGATTGTCTTATGTCTCTCGCTAGAAGAAATGAGATTCAGCGTCACAATGAGGAGGTAAGACAAAATCGAGAAATTTTAAAACTGTTACTGAGGCCGTGCTGTATTTGTCAAAGCAAGAGTTGCCATTTAGAGGTCACAATGAGTCCGAAGGTAGCTTGAACAAAGGTAATTATAGAGAGTTGCTCGAATGTTTTGCTAAGTTTGATTCTGTATTTGAGCGTCGACTGCACAGTAGACTAGCAGAATCTGATATAGTTGGTGACAGAAGATTTACTGGAGTCT